AACACCCCAGCCCGAGGCTGGGAAAGCTGCCAGACCCCAGGCAGACCCTGCCTGGGCGAACGGAGGTGACACTGCCAGACCACCAGACCCCCACCAGCACCACCCTGAGCTGCCGCCTCCTCCCGAGCGGCTGCTGGGGAACGAACCAGCTGAAAGAGCAAATCCTGCCCCGAGAACAGCTACGTCCAGCTGTGAAGTGCCCGTCCTTCCAGCGGCCTGGGCAGGGGGCTGCACGAAAACAAAACTGCCAGCCAGCCTCCAGTGCGAACTTTGTCAGAGCCTGAAATGGCCGAGTGACAGGCTGCTGCCGCCCCTCCGAACTGGGGACAGACCCGTCAGACCCAGGACAGTGTGGGAGGGCTTTGGAGAAAATACCAATGAGGAGCACAGCTGCCTGTCCAAACCCTGCTGGGATCCCTCCCCGCAGAGACGCACAGAGATCACCGCTCTGCAGCCAGCTGAGCCTCAGGAAAGGGACACGCGGTGGGCACGCAGAAGAGCGACAAAGCCAGGCGGGGGTCCACAGGAAAGGATCGCCACCCCTTGCTGTCGAACAGATCGTGCCCAGGGGATCCAGCAAGAGCCCCCAGCCACCTCTGTGCTCATGTTGAAAGATCTGGGGACAGCTCTGGGGACGAAGCCTCCATTCTCTACGGCACGGGGCTATTCTATCTGCTCTAAACTGAAATGATCTCTCAGAAAAACCAACCTGTTCGAGTTAAATTCTTGGCGACAAGAGCTACCTGGAGTCACCTAGGGCTAGTGGAATGTAGAGTTCATCTCCCCACCACAGGAATTTCCCTGACTGTCAACAGCTGGGAGGAGCAGACCTGGTGTCAGAAGCCACAGGATCGCAGAGATTTAACCAGTCCCTGGGCCTCTGTGATCTCCTGACTCTCCTGGGGTGCTCTGGAGCAAAGCCCAGCACAACACCCCAGCACGACACCAGGCGGGTTCCCCCCTTCCCAGCGCGACCCTGCCGAGGGGAGGCCTGATCCTGCTGCGCCCAGAGCCCTCTGGTCGCTCTGGACTGACCCCAATGCTCCCTGTTCTCCACCCTCTTCTCCCAAGCAGCCAGCCGGGCTCACCAGAGACGCCCCGGCACCGAGCAGCCATCATTTCTGCTGGAAGCTTTTTCCATGGATAAATCCGTTCCCTTTTCAGAAATAACTGCCCCCGCACCGGTGTAAAGTCTGACTGCCCACAGCTTCTCGCCACCAGTGCCCGTTCTGCTCTCCTCTGAACAGCCCTTCAGAACCCGGCTCCTTCACCCAGAATCACCTCTAGTTGACAGACTTGACTTCCCTTCCAAACTCACTCTGAATTTTCTGTCTCTTTTCTAAAAAAGACCCCAACACCAGAACTGGACGCTGGTTCCGATATTTGCCTCATCAAAACCACACACAGAGGTCAAACTCTCCCTGCTGTAATTCTCCACTCACACCAAGGAAGATTAATTGCACTGTCCCCATTGCCAAACAGCCCACTTCTTTCTAGAATGAGTGTTCTGTGGCATCAATAATCATTTCAAATAAACCTACAGCCCCACAGTGACTTCTGCCAGTCAAATCCCTCACACCAAAGAGCCAGGTGAGGTTTCCTGGCTAAGCCCCGTCCCTCAGCAAACAGCTTCCACACGCCCTGTCCCCAAACCCAGCAGCTCAGCGGCAATCCAGGGGACAGGGCGCTTCCTGGGAAGGACGAGGAGAAGCGTGCTCGGGAGAGGCGAAGCGGACAAACGTCTGCCTCCTCCCTCCTTCAGCCACGGTCCCTGCCGCAGCCCCGCTTCCCTGGGCTGGAGGGGAGGAACGGGGGCACGAGGCGAAGCACAGGCTGACCCTCGCTGGGGGCACGGCCGGGTGCTGATGGGACGGGGTTTGGGACAGACAGGGTGAGGTGCGGGTGGACTCTCACCTCCTGGCATAGTCGTACAACGCTCGTTTCCGCTCCTGCAAGGACAGGTGCCGCTCCACGGGGGACTTTGCGAATTGCTTTGTGGCTGGCTGGAACAGAAAGCACAAGAGCCGTCAGCAGATGGTCACACACAGCCTGGAGAGCTCTCCAGCGGCTCTGCGAGGACCCGCCACGACAGTTCGGTCTCCAGTTCCCCTGGTGTCATGGCTGGTCCTGGACACAGGCATCGCGCTCTGGCTGCGAGCCATCAGACCAGAGGGGACAACGCAGCCACTAGGAGTACCTTGGAAGAAGGCACAGCTCCGGAGCCCTGGGTGCCAGAAGCAGCTGCAGCCTGGGAGGTAGACGGGGCAGGCAGGGCACTGCCAGCCTCCCTGCTTTCTGGGAAGAAGGGCACCCTCCCCTCCAGCAGGTTGGCAATGGTGGTGTCCACACAGTTGGTCTGGGCTGTGGGGACAAAGAGGATTTGTCAGAGAGGGAGCTCCTCCCACCCTCGCTGCCCCTGTGCCCCCCAGCGCAGCAGGGACACGGTTTCTGCTCTCAGGTGTCACAGACTGGCCAAGAAAGGCGATCCCGCGCCCTGGCTTACCCAGGTCTGTCCGGATGGCCTTCAGAGGCACGTGGGGCAGCACCTCCTTGACGCGCTGCGCCATCACCGCGATCCGTGTGTCCTCAGGAGCCGCAGCAGG